CCCCCGCCATAGCGCGTCCCCGTGCGATCCCCGCGGCAGCCCCCACGTCCCGGCCGCGCCGCGGGGCGCCCAGAGCCAGAGCAGCCTCCGGCGGCAGAAAGAGTCATTGGCCCCAGTGCCCGTGAATAACTCTCGGGTTGTGTCCCTTGCACGTGCCAAAAGTCCCTTTCGCCTGTGTTTTCCTGCCCGCGGCGTTTGTTTCTCGTTCGCGTTATTTATGTTTTATTAACGCGTTCCTTGCAGCCGCCTTGTTGTGCGCCCGGTGGGATCCTGCTCAGCAAACATTGGTCCCATCCCAGAAACAACTTCCAAAGAACATTCCTGAGCCTTCAGCAGCACGGGAATCATCCCGCCCCGCCGACTTTGGTGGGAGTGTGCAATGCCCCCAAACCTGTCTGGGGAAACAGGCCCCAGCTCCGGGATGAGCAGACAGCACAGAGCAACCCCGAGGCAGATGCACCTTTCCCCTTGCGGGGACAGGTTTCTGCAGCCTCCTCGTACACACGTGTGCAACCCATGAGCGAACGCGCCCAGGTGCCTCCCGTGACTTCATCATTCTGGCGACCGCAGCAGTCGTCCCTCACACTGGCCAAAATCATCCTCCCGAGTTTCTCTGAAATGCAAAAGCAAATATTCTTGTTTTATTTTTCCCCCATTGTTTTATTTATTTAACCATTATCTCCCCTCCCATTCCATTTACTCTTTTTCCCTTCAAATGCCGAAGCAGCTGACGCAGCTCCTGGGAGCGAGCAGGAGCCAGTCCCAATATTTACAGCATGGCCCGGGGGTTGCATTGAACCACAAATGGCCCCAGAGACCCCTCCCCAGGAATGTGCTTATGCTGCGAGTGCTCCCAGCTCCCCTCTTACGCACAACACAGCCCATGGAAAATGGCCATGTGCCCCATCCAGTGCCCGCCGACCCTCTAGCCAGGCTCATCCCTGCTGCTCATCACAGGAGTGTCACACGGGCCCGTGACAGTGGCCGTCACCCGGCGCAGGGCTGAGGGCAGCTGCATTTCAGTGCAATCTTCTCGATCGCCTTTTGTAAACACCCCATGAAACTGTGTCTGCGTCCCTGGGCTCTCGCCTCCTTGCTGCCTTCCTGATAATGTTTGTCAGCCAGGGAATGAGAAGCCTCCAGGAAATGTGGCTTTGTGTGGCTTTATGTTTGCAGAGGTGGCTTTATGACTGTAGATGCACCCATACTGAGTGAGCGTGAGGAAAGTGTATTTTTTTCTTCTCATACTGGGAGAAAAACACAAGCCACTCCTTCCTCTGAGGGTCATGAGTGCTAACCATGATTTCAGACCTATTTAAAATACCTTAATATGAGTTATAAACCCTACTGTGGATCTCCTTCCCGACAGGCTGGTTTCTGTTGGCTGCGCTCAGCGTTTGAAGCCATTTTCACCCTGTATGATCCCTGCACAGCTCCGAGTCTGTATTAGATACAAGGTGTCAGAAGGGCAAAGCTGAGTGGACGCACGCGGTCCAGCCTGAGCATGCCAAAACCATGCGCAACAGCAAAGGAAACCTTGAGCCCTACTGGGCTCCAGAGCAGGGCCTTCTTGCATCTACATGCAAGAATAACGGTCTTTAAATATTTTTCCTAAATTATCGGCTCAGCTTATATGCAGAATAAATGCTGGAAAGCTCTTTTAACAGTATCATGCGTTCTCTTTGACCCAATGCATTCTTTTTTTTTTTTTTTTTTGCCCCTGAGGGGTGTGTGGGCTGTGCAGCCACAGGGGTGACTCTGCACCAGTGAAGCAGAGTTCCAGCTCCGGTGCGCAGCTCTTTTCCAGGCTTGAAATGACGCCTTCCTTTTCTAGCAGCCCTTCTAAGCCCATCACGAGTTGTCAGTGCCTGGAGAGCTTTCTGGAGACTCTGTGGTGCAGAAAAGTAAAACTCTGCGTGAAGGGAGTGTCCGGATACAGCACGGAGAGGTGATCCCCAACTCTGGCTAAAGTCACCTATGGCAGAGACAGGGCATAGAGCTGCCCCCCAGGCGCCCGCGGAGCCGTTAGGAACATTCCCGAGCTCCAGCTTTTCGGTGAGTTTGGGCCACCCTGAGCATTCGCCCGGCGGTGGTAGCGGGAGGCGCGAGCTGCCCGGCCCCGCAGCGGCTCCGCGGGGCCCCGGGGCGGAGCGGAGCGCAGCGGGCC